AAAACACACACAAAACAGATCTCTTTCATATGCACATCTAAGATTATGTTAGCCTGGACCGAGGAGGAAGACTGAGGCTGCGGCTGCTGGACAGAGGTCGACTGAGGCTGGGTTGGTGGTGAAGCATGGGTGGCGATGTGCTTCAGCAAATTTGCCTGAGTTATTACAGTCGCTGAACAATAGCAGCAGTGAAAGTGGGACTTTGCCCGACATTTTAAACTACATTTTGAAATGGTGAAATCTGAAAGGGCAAAAAAAGAAAATATGTTTGTTGAAAATTGCCTAAAATTAACCTTCACTTGTTTGCATTTTGCTCTGGACGGTGGACAGTCGCAAGACAGAATTTTCATCAGCACCATCCATGTGCAAGCACATTTTTTTTGTGATTTGAGCAACAAAGACCCATGGTCAATGTGCGGAATGCAGAAAATTAAGTTTACCTGAGCCTTAAAATTAAACATTCTACTACAAATTCACAAGCAATGAAATCAGAAGCATGCACAGTGCATTACTGGCTGGTTCGGCACCATATTAAACTTGAACTAAAGTGACATAAGCAAAAGACAGTTAAACTCACCATGATGTTGCACTGCCCACTGAAAGTGGTTTTTGATGTGATAATACATCAGCTGTGGCATACTGGTGTAATTGCAGAATGGGCACTCACTAGTGCAGTTTTTGAAATGCTGCTCCCATTCCCCCTTGCTTAACACAGTTTTGTGCATTTTTGCAAGGGGAAATGGGTCTTAAAAGAGTCTTTGAGTTATAAAGTGAAGAACAACAAAAAAGATGAGAGAGATGGAGGGGTGGGAATGACAATGACAAGGATCTGCAAAATGAAGGAAATACAGAGAATCAGTATTAGCATAACATTTTTTCTTTTTTTTTTTTACTCGTGCAGGGGTGTTCAAAGTCGGTCCTGGAGGGTCACTGTCCTGCAGAATTTAGCTCTAACTTGCCTCAACACACCTGCCTAGAAGTTTCTAGTATGCTCAATAAGATATTGATTGGCTGGTTCAGTTGTGTTTAATTGGGGATGGAGCTGAACTATGCAGGACAGTAGCCCTCCAGGTGCAGGATTGGGCACCTGCTCTAGTGCATATACTCTATAGCAGCATAACAGTATAATATAAAAAATGAGCTCTATTTTCAAGGACTGTTAAACTTAATCATACTTTTTGTTGAATTATTATTATTAAATGTAGTTTACAGTTTATTTTAATAGATGTATAATTAATAATAACACTAATATCTAAATATTTTACATTTAATAATTGTATTCACAGAAAAACAATCAGCTTTTAAATGACGGTCCAAATTCAGGAAAACAAATACATGCAGTCATGAGATTTATTAAGAATAGTGGGTTATATAATAGGATATAGGAGGGTTTGTTCATTCTTTTCACACTCCATCACAGTAGGTGGCGATATGCACCTTTGAAGTTGGTTCGCAACTCGCCATTAAATCAAAAGAAGAAGAAGAAGAAAACATGTCGTATG